AAAGATAACTGAATATTCAAGTATTTTTCCTTATTATTTGTTTCTCCATCTATTGAGAGATAACTGAACTTTCAAGTATTTTCCTTATAATTTTTTGCTCCATCTATTGAGAGGTAACTGAAATTCCAAGTATTTTTCCTTATTATTTGTTTCTCCATCTATTGAGAGATAACTGAACTTTCAAGTATTTTCCTTATTATATGTTTCTCCATCTATTGAGAGGTAACTGAAATTCCAAGTATTTTTCCTTATTATTTGTTTCTCCATCTATTGAGAGATAACTGAACTTCCAAGTATTTTTTCTTAATTTTTCCTAAAATAGATACTACAGCTGAAAGTAAACATAATCTATTTTTGGATTAATTTGGAGGCCAGCGAAGCTGGAACGGTTCCTCCTGGACGGTACAAGTACCCCGGAGCACTGGACCTACGTTTGGGGAGATTTCCAGAACCCAACGCTTTCCAACTTCACCCCGGGTTACTGTATGTGCACACAATCATAACCCCCATGCCGGGGTCAGAGGATTAATGGGGAGGACATCATATGGATCCCAGGCCATGAAATATGATACCACGCATACACATACAGCTCCAGGCTCGGCCCCACTGAAGATTTCAAAGAAAGAAGACCTCTATATAATGTCTTGATTTGATGATTAAGAAACTGGTGTTACTAAACTGAGACATCAATAATATGTATACAGATCGTTCACTTGCATATATACTTCGGGTGCTTGATACATTAAATACTAATTTAATTAATTCTTTATTTATTTACTTATTTTCAACGAAATTGGATTGTCAAATATCATTGTTGTGAAGTGAAAAGTCCCAAACTGTCGTAGTTAACATAAAAAAAACACATTATGTGCTGCTATCTAGCGACGGTAACCGAAACTATTATGAAATGTAGAAGTAATTCTCCTGAGTGGTGGTTTCCCTTCTTGTTATTTTCTCAGAAAAACGCGAGTAATGGGAGAAGATAATAACATTGCTCTTATATACAAATCGGGCGGGCAATTTTTTCACATCTTGCCTTTCTGTCAGGTAAAGTAATTTTCATCTTAACATTAAAAATACTTTTGTGCATCAGAAAATTTTGAACTTTCATATGCGAAATTTGTATAATATCCAAATATAGTTACCAAACGTTTCCTAAGAGTAAACTTAACATTTTATATATTGTCTTCAGTAATTCATTTCTGTTCGGGTCCGGAAAATTTGAACGATCTCGCAACCACCATAAAAAATTATGAAATAAACATAAATTATGCATCTTTCATTCTGGAATGAACACAAAGGGATTTAAATTGATAGTTATTGGACGAGCATAAAGACGTGTTTGTTGTGGAAATATAAGGTAGTGATATAACTTATTTCTATTGTGTTTTAAGTAAAGGTTCTTAATACAGTCCAAGTATTAGTTGTACCAAATATTTAAATTAAGAAAATGGAATTAACTTTTAAACATGGAGGAAACGTAACGTAAAGTAATAAAAAGTTCAATTAATAACCTTTTACGAAGCTATTGTAAAATGTGCTACCTTTGGTTTGGCGACAAGTCACCCAATAAGCAATCGGCACTCTGTCCACTGCGGGGAATTGAGCCTCAGATTTTAGTCTTATAAATCCGTAAACTTACTGCTAACCCACAGTGGGACGGTTATCTTGCAGTATTTCAATATTCTTAACAATGATTGAAAACTGTTTTGTATATTGATTGCAATCTTCTGTACTAATTTTAGCTAATAATCCACAAAACGAAAAATAAAAAGACTTAGCTACATTTCAACCTATTTATTTTCTTATGCTCTGTGCCATAAGCTTCTAGTTACAAATTACAACCACTAAAAATGTATTCTTTTTTAAACGTCATATAATTGATAAAAAGTAAAATGTTTATTTTTAATACACTCGCTACATAGGTATCAATGATTATTGTTTGTTTGTTTTAAGTTAAGCACAAAGCAACACAATGGGTATCGAAACCTGATTTCTAGTTTTGTAAGGGTGCAGACATACCGCTGCACCACTGGAGGCTTGATTATTGTGTGTTTATATGTATGTGTTTTTACATACACACTAAACGAGAGCTTGAATTTTCTTTGATAGATTGTTAAGGCAGAGTATTCATGACGAAACTTAATTGAATGGATGGCAACTGCCTGTTGTAAAAACACAAGACGAAAGGCGGAAGACTTTCGAAACGTCGTCTTCTACACTCGTGTTTCTATAACAGGCAGTTGTCGTCCATTCACCTAATGGAATTGAATTTCATTTTATGAAATCGGCAACGCAAAGGAGTACACTATGATTTTTATAAAGATAAGTTAAAACACGCAACTTAATAATGTATGTATATAAATATATACGCATAATAACAAATAGCTTTTCAATGGGTTTTGGAGAATAAAAATGTAATTTAGACACTACTGTGATGTACGTTACAGTATGTAAGTAAAAAATCGAGATTCACTTAAAAGACAACTTTAAATATTTATTTGTATTTGTTTTATGTATTATTTTATTAATGGAATTTGATAAATACTGCAATTCACACTAAGATGTTCATGGTTTCGTCAAGATTGACAACTTTATCAAGGTCATGTAACACAAGTTTTATGTAAATACTACGAACAACTAACCCACTACATACGTCTGGTCGGACTTTGAGCTAAGCTAAAAAGTAGTTCTCTAGACAATGGCGGATGTTATAGGGACCATTCTCTAATTAATTCAGAACAATATTTTTTTTCAAAGCTGAATAATAACAGTTATTATATTGTTCAATACACAATTATGCGACTTGGAAAAGTTAAGGTGCCATTTTTAATAACAACATCTCTAACATATGAAAGAATGTTTGAAAATAAAGCTACGTATTACATGTTTTTTGCACCTCTTGTAATAAAGCACTGGAATTAATTGTATTTTATCAACCAAAACTTTTTTTTCAAAATATCGTTCAGAATTATTAGATATAGTCTTACAAAAATGAAATAAACTCGATTAAAATGATGTTATTTCTTCAGTCATGAGCCTTATTTATTTATGAGTTAAAGTATTTTCATTTAAATTTTGTTTTTCTAGAAATATCCACGTTATCTTATTTAGTATAGATTCGTTGAGCCAATACTGAGGGAAACATTCTCGTGTTACAGTTCACAGGTGTCAATGGTGTGCTGATTTATCTCCCTGCGAGTTATTTGCATATACTTTAATTGGTATCCATTAATATTTGTGCAAAGTCGTGATATCCTTTTCATTATATTTCTTTGACGAGACCTTTCAATTACATATATAGGTAGAAAGTAACCGATCAGTTTAAAAATTTTATCAACAGCAATCTACTAGATCTTTCGAACAACAACAATGTAAAAATAAGTGTCTCATGCCTTCACAATAAAATGGTTACGTTAGAGAATTAAATAAAAGTAATTAAAATGTACATTTTAAATATAATCTCTCAAAGGTAAAATGATGTATGGATTGATTTATTATTAATACAGAGCAATATTTCTTTATATGAACCAAATTATTTAATTAGTGTTGTGTAAATAATATATATACTTGTATTTGAATAACTCACGATAATGTGGTCGAACGTCACCGTTGTATTGCTGCGCCACCCCAACCTGGGCCAACCAGCACGACTTTAGTAAACTGGTTTTTAAAAGGTAAGCCTAATAATCCTCACAAAACTCAAAAAAGAGAAAAGTATTTTTTTTATATTTTAAAGTGTTACATAAGTAATTGTTTATTTGTTGTAGTAATATTTAATTTCTAAAAAGTTATGAACAGTCATGTTTTTGTTTTTTTTTCGAATAGTGCACGAACTTCGTTAAAGTAAAACGTAAGGAAATAACGCTAAGGCTTAGAACTAGAAGTTATATTAGAATGAAGTTGAACATTTTTCGTGTCGTAAGTGCACTAGCGTTGAGTGGCTCAACATTGCTTAATATTATTACTAAAAAGTTCTTTGTAATATTTAACCCCAGGATTTGTATTTAAATATTTTGATGTCAGTTTCTTAAAGGGTGATTTATTGTTCGCATAATTTTTTACCGTTAAAATACAAGGTATGAACGATACTAATCAACATGTTGATGTTCAAATTTAAAGACGTATTTTAATTAGTTTGACTTTGAAACAAATTACAGAATTTTTTGAATAGTCTTAATTCAAATCCCATTTCATTTTCAGAACCCAGAAGTCATTGTGGTTTAACACTGTTCTTAATGCGTAATCAGTGACGCAAAGACGTATTTAATTAGTTTCAGACATATTACTAGAATTGTTTTTAGGACTTGTTAAATTAAATCCATTTTTAGGACTAAAAGATAAATGTGGTCTAACACTAATATTATATAACATATGATTAATGCTTTGTAACTTAGAATTTGTCATTTTACACCAGAAATCTGCTGATAGTAACTTACATACACACAATATTTTTGTACCACATGAAGTCTATATTAGGGCATTGAAATATGAATATAAGAACTCCCACATTACTTGATGCTTTAGAAAACTTGTCAAAAAGAAGAAAGGACCAGAAATAATTTGTTTTGTGTATCATTTATATAGATTTTTCAGCGTAATAGAATCATGAGTAACTGCAGTATAAAGCTAATTTGAAGCACTTTCATTAGACACTTATATAAATATGTGTGTGTGTGTGTTGGTTCCATACTTATACCTAAATTTTGACTTTAAAAGAATAAGTGGATTTATGGTTGCATCTATCGTATCAAAGAATATTGACCATCATTTATAAAGAGCTCCTGTACTTCCACTAAAGTAGTTTACAGGTTTCAGGATGTATAATAGAGCTCCTGTTCTTCCACTAAGGTAGTTTACAGGTTTCAGGATGTATAATAGAGCTCCTGTACTTCCACTAATGTAGTTTACAGGTTTCAGGATGTATAATAGAGCTCCTGTTCTTCCACTAAGGTAGTTTACTGGTTTCATAATGTATAATAGAGCTCCTGTACTTCCACTAAAGTAGTTTACAGGTTTCATGATGTATAATAGAGCTCCTGTACTTCCACTAAGGTAGTTTACAGGTTTCAGGATGTATAATAGAGCTCCTGTACTTCCACTAAGGTAGTTTACAGGTTTCAGGATGTATAATAGAGCTCCTGTTCTTCCACTAAGGTAGTTTACAGGTTTCAGGATGTATAATAGAGCTCCTGTTCTTCCACTAAGGTAGTTTACAGGTTTCATGATGTATAATAGAGCTCTT